ACATTACCATTCCACATGGCGACAATCTCTTGAAAGCTGAAAAAGATAAACAAGTAAAGTATTTGGAGGAGACCACGAGATTTTCGACATGTGGGATGTTGATTCGGCAATCATTGTACCGATAGTCATATCGGCCCATGGATTAGTTGCTAAGAGCCTCGAGCAACATCTTCAGAGGCTCGCGCTAGGCAGTTGGATTAAGGGCCTGATGCGGAAAGCAGTTCTACTCGATACGGCACGTATTGTGAGGAAGTTTGTGTCTCTGGAGTCCTAACCACCGATATCTTGGTCCCCGTACCCGATACCGATGGGATACTATTTTTTATATTTTTAAATGTTTTTTTTTTGTTTTTGTATATAAATATGTTTAAAAATGTAATTTATATGTATAAAGAATAAAATAAAGATAATAATATTCTACCACATTCACACGACGCCATCTAGACCCAAACTAAGCAGAGCTTGTACTATGAATACTAGACAACTGATATAAATATGTACATATTTACTTTTTTTTTGTAAATACATACATATAATACATAGAAACACCCAGACCAAATCTAACATTAAAAGTTCATCAACAACCTTTAACAGTCCACAGTATATTTATAATAAGTAAATGCTTTGCAACATGAAATGCTACACTTATTTCCACAGTCACTCGAACTATAAAGCTTGGCTTGAGGCCTAATGGGACTGTCGAAGCACAAAACTCAGTAGGTAAATGTTAAATTAAATCAGCTCAACAAGCCCGGCCCACAATAATATCAAATTCCTGTTCATTTTATTATTCATATATCTTGGCAATTTAGACCGTGGGATTGTTCGGACATTTTGTAAAGTGATCAGATGTTTGCATATACATTGTCCCGCCCTCTGTCGCCACTTAAGGTAACCCGTTATGTTTTCCTTGCGCGAATTTTATGTTGTTGCGTAAATTAACTAGAAAAGTCACTCTAAAGTTTAGGTGTGTACGTGTTGAAGTAAGTTGAATATTATGTTCGGTTACAACATCTTTACTTTCGGTGCGAAAACAATTCATAGACCTCTGTAAGTCCCCTGTAACAGAACAGTTATACAAAATAGCCTTTTTTTCCTTGATTTACAATTCAAATTTTGTTGGTAGTTAATGTTACTTAACATTTTAATTTCTTAGCACAAGTTACGAGTCCTCTCCTTGAAATAGGCGAGAAAGATTTTGGGCTCTGGTAACCTTACTCACTCAGGGAAAAGCAACGAAAATATTGCTAACACCGGTTTACTGTGAGACCAATGAAAAATCAAAGACAATCTCCCAAGAGATAGTTTGATTTTTCAAAATTATCTTTCTCTTCCAAAACATCACATTACATTATGTATATTTATGCGCATATCTTTGATGATGATGATGATGGGCATATACATATGTAAGTAATCAATCGTACATTTAGTTTTCTGAAATATGATAGCTTTTATTATTAAATCTTTTTTGTCAGAGTTAGCTTAGAAACGACCATCTGAGAATTTTGGAAGGTAAATAATAAGTATAAAAATCTGTAACTAAAGCTATGCTATATATATATAAATATGTGTATATATTTATATATACGAGAGCTGACCTGGCCTTCGATGGATTCAACGTGAGGATGGTCGTATTCATGACTGCAACAGCGCCTGGGACTTGCGGCCCAGGAGTAGGTTTAGGAAGTACTCATTGCGACGCGTCAGCGTTCACCTCCACAGACTGCTGTGTTATACACTCTTCCTAATTATATTTAATATTAATATATGATTATTGCACTGTTTAATGTGGGTAATAATACCTGAAATAAAATAAGAATCATCATCATCAACAGCCTTTACTAGTCCACTGCTGGACATAGGCCTCTCCTTAGAAAGGAGGTTTTGGCCTACTATACCACGCTGGCCAGACGGGTTGGTATAGGGTTCGTGTCAAGTTTTCCCTCTCTCTGCAGTGCTGTTGTCCTGCGTAGTTTGCTCCCTTAGTCGCCTCTTACGACACCCACGGCATGAACAGGGGTGGTGACACTGCGCCCGGCGGACTCACCGTCCGCCTACCGGCCCATAGTGTTGCTTGACGAGGTGTGCAAGCTCTTTGAAAGAGTGATTGCAAGGCGCCTCGTCAAGCATCTCGTGATGGTTGGGCCGGATCTGGCGGACAACCAGTACGGTTTCCGTCAGGGGCGCTCCACCGTGGATGCGATCATGCGCGTGAAGGCTCTGGCGGAGGAAGCAGTCTCCCGGGGCGAAGTGGTGTTGGCGGTGTCCTTGGACATCGCCAACGCGTTCAACACTATGCCCTGGAGCTGCATCAGGGAGGCGCTCGTGTATCACGAAGTGCCTCTCTACCTCCGCCGCATAGTCGGGGCATATTTGTCGGAGAGAGCCGTCGTCTACCCCAGTAGGACCGGTCTCGGTAGGCGTGAAATGTCGTGCGGTGTTCCGCAGGGGTCGGTGTTAGGGCCACTCTTGTGGAACATCGGCTACGACTGGGTCCTTCGTGGTGCCTTCTTGGATGGTGTCGCCGTCGTGTGCTACGCGGACGACACACTCGTGACGGCGCGCGGCAAGACGCACCACGAGGCAACCCTGAGGGCCACGGCCGGGGTTGCCCAAGTCGTTGAGCGTATCCGGCGGCTGGGTCTCGAGGTGGCTCTGCACAAGTCCGAGGCCCTGTTCTTTCACGGGCTTCGGAGGAAGCCGCCTGAGGGATCTAGCCTCACGGTAGGAGGCACTCGCATCGGCATCGAGCCCTCGATCAGGTATCTGGGGCTCGTACTCGATGGCCGATGGGACTTCGGATATCATTTCCAAGGTCTGGTCCCCAAGTTGGTTGGGGCAGCGCGTGCGTTGGCGCGGCTGCTGCCCAACATGAAGGGACCCGATGACTCCTGCCGGAGACTCTACTCGGGGGTTGTGCGGTCCATGGCCCTTTACGGGTGCCCAGTATGGGCGGGGGCCCTGAAGGCCAGCAACGTCGCGATACTGCGGCGACCGCAGCGAATGCTGGCCATCAGGATCATAAGGGGGTACCGCACGATCTCCTTCGAGGCGGCGAGTCTCCTGGCCGGAACTCCACCGTGGGACCTGGAGGCGAGAGCCCTTGCAGCACTGTATCAGTGGCGCAAGGAGGCGCAGGAGTTGGGTCGATACCCCGAGATTCGAGAAATCGATGACCGGAAATCCCAACTCCGCCAGGTCATCATAGCGGAGTGGAGGGAACGACTCGGGCAACCGAGCGCCGGGCACGCCGTCATTGCGGCGGTAAGACCCGTTATGGAGGATTGGCTCGAGAGGCGTCACGGGACCCTCTCATACCGATTGACGCAGGTGATCACTGGGAAGGGATGTTTCGGAGATCACCTGTGTCTGATCCGCAAGGAGCCAACGCCTGAGCCATGAGCCTGAGCCATCGCAGTGGTGGCACCACTGCGATGGCCAGACCGTGGACACGGCTCTCCACACGCTGGCAGAGTGCCCGGCGTGGGTTGAGCAGAGGCGAGACCTCGTGGCGGCCATCGGAGTGGGAGTTCTCTCGCTCGATAGCCTGATTGCGGCTATCGTGCGGAGCGAGAGTGCGTGGAACTCTGCCGTCTCTTTCTGCGAGCAAGTTATGCTCGCGAAGGAGACGGCGGAGCGGGACCGGGAGAGGTTTAGAACTCTCCCGGCCCGCCAGGCCCGGGCACGGGCCAGGCAGCGCAGGCGACTCGGGCGCCGGAGGTCGCAGAACGACCTCCGTCCTCCATAAGCGCAGGCCTGGGGGTGACAGGTGAGGCCATCTGTCACCCTAGCAGAAGCAGGCCGGGGTGGCGGCGAGCGCGTTGCGAAGCGCGCTCGCTTCCAGGGAGCACAGGGAACATGGGGTTCCCACACGGGGCGGGGGTCGTCTACTCGTCTGTAGATGACCCGAGGTATGTCGGGGCACCAGGGCCTTCCTTTCTAGGGTATACCTGGTTCCCCGGCTATTAGTACCCGGCGAAGGCGTGCGGTTTTAGTCGGTTCGAGTCCGACATGCCACCGACAGGTGGTATCCGAGGGGATTTCCGCACGGAAAAAAAAAAAAAAAATAAAAAAAAAAAAAAAAAAAAAAAAGGGGTGGTGACACTCTGTATTCTTAATCCGTCACCACACGGACAGAATAAGAATAATAATATGCAAATACTATAATATTTTTTTCTGAAATTGTGTACAGTGTCGCATTATCGGTTAATGCTATATTTCGTATATATCCCCTTTTAGTTTTAGAAACCGGAGTTCAAATTAACGTGTTTATGAAAATTAAATATATGTTTCAATAATTTGAAATGCCAATATTAATTAAAGTCTAATGAATAATATGTACATACATGAACTAGCAAAACAACAAAAAGTGGGTAATAATCCAATTTTATTTCTATTTAATGACTCCTACGGAATCAAAAATTACATTTCATATTTATTACTTTTTTGTAATAATAGATTTCATTTTGTGGACATTTTAAATAAATTGACTCTTGACTTGACTAATGAAATCTATAATTTTTTATTACATAGTAGAAGCTTCAGCTGATAACTCATATTGGCCTATGCGAAAACATATTAATTAAAAAAAAATATTAACAGCTATTATATGTATAAACTTTTAATAAAAATTACATTGAATGTCATTGTCACCTGAAACTTAGCGGAACTTTATTTTAGCTCACACATTATATTGTAAAACTTTAAAGTTAACCAACACATATCGAAATTTAAAGTTGGTAATGAAATCACAATCAGAGTTCAGTGTCCTGCATAGCTAATGCAAGTTTATGCTCCCCTGGGACCCACGGCCAGACGGTACGAACAAAAAGCCAATTTCATAAAACTATGCACCCGACTGCGGCCCATAACAATAAATGAGCAAGCCTCCAGAACCTGATACCTCGTGCGAAAATACTTTTCACATGTCCTCTGTCAACCTATCTAAAAAAATCATATACATCGCAGAACTTTTCAACACAAAATCGCACACTACGTTATTAAACGCTCAATGTAAATTCCCAACTATCAATCCACGTATCGTTAACTTTACAGTGGTAGAGGAATTCGCAAGTCTGCTGCACACATACGCATTGACGTCGCGACGCGGAGGCTTCGATTGCACACAGCTGTGTTTTCACATCACTCGCCAGTCTGCCCCGTGCTGCCGATCGCGCCGCTAGTGTCGTGAGGCGCCGTGACGCCGATCCTCCGACTTCGCGAAAAAAGTTTTCGTTCGACAAACGAAACTTTCCTTGGGCTTTCCTTTCAACCCGTACATAGTTGAACTGGAACAGTCTGTTTTGAACCCGGTTAACGTGATTAGTGACCTTCTGAAACCGGAATTCGGTATCCTCCGGAACGGGTTTGGTCTCGGACCCCGCCGTGCCTGGACTTTCGTGAAGTGATAACTTGATTTTCATAGTGGTGTGTTCAGTGTGAGTGACTGGATTCTCCGCTCAACGGAAGGCTGGGCAGCGTCCCACAGTTTTAAGGCCGGCTTCCAAGTAAAAGTGCTGTTAAAAATTTCAGTAAGTATTTCAATAAGATGTAATTCAAAGACCCGAAAAATAATTTTGAACAAACAATATATAAACTTCTAGTTTGGTAATTTGACACTCATCTAGCAGTCCTTGCCCTTGTAGACACAAAAACTGCATTTTAAAATAAAAACGTCTTAAATTGGTGCAATAATAGCAAAGAATAAGTAGGTCGTAGAGTAAATAATGATTTATTTAGAGTAATCACAAAAAATGTATATCAATCATCGGCATATCTAATAGTGATCTTGATAATTACAAGAGTCGAAGACCCGGCATTCAATTTAGGGTTACGAAGTAAATATAGATTTTAAATTAGAAATTGAATGTGAGACTGTTTCGTGTCAGTACGCCTTTGCCGGATCTTTGATTCATTTACGAAGCTTTTTTGGTGTAATGTTTGCGTACAGACGAGTAGTTCGACCTCACTGATGTTTTGCATCAATCGAAAGTGCCATGTGTCTATCTATCGCCAACAGAGCAGATGTGCAAAAACTCACCAAAAAAACGACAATCGAACTCTTTGAACAAGCAAAAAAGAAAAACAATTTCACGTTATTTTTTACTCAGATGCCAAATTCGCTCTCAACACAGCTATAGTAATGTGGTCTTGTTTTATTTTTGATGCCAGAAGAAATATTTTTTTATATCTTGGATGCCGCTGAAGTTTTTAATTGAATTTTAACCTTTGACGTATGCTCTATTTACGAATACTTATTACACGCTAAGATTTCTTCAAAGTCAGTATACGTTTAATTTCATCAGGTTCGTTGTCACAGGTCATAATGCCAAGGCTATGCATTACAGTGTTCTTAAGAAATTTTGTCCTATTGTTACGTACTTACCGTCCACTCCGTTTTAATTGAAGTTTTGAAACTGTTTCTAATTGAACTTAGGGTCTAGTTACTGTTAAGAAAAAACTATGCAAGGACGCAAACATAGTTGATTACCTGATTAAAATTTTATATGACGGCCATTTTTTAATAAATGTTGTTGACTGAGCTATTAAATAAACAACGAATTAAGTAACTGACCAACAGGACAAACGTATTTCTTCAAGTTATGCAGTTGTTTAATAGATATACTTAAATATACATACTCGTATTGTTAATATGTAGATAACTGTTTTATTCAAGTTTCATAAAATAAAAAACAATTTAAAAACTATAACTTTTAATATCGTCTTGTTTTATCCGGTTAAAATAACAATCCTTATATAGCGTTACGCGATAGCGTTAAATAAAATACCAGGCCGAATCAGTCGTGCGTTTCCTTTGCTCTCTTGATCGAATTACTAAATTAAAAAAATGTTATACAGTCACTGTGTTCGAACACACTCTAAGTATTAATCACAATGTTTAGTATTATTAAGATAAACGTAAGAATTTGATATTTGATTTAAACGATAAGAATTTCACAAATGCAAATGTTTGAACATTAAGAAAACCTGATGTTAAATTATAATAAGTACTCAAACTTGTTTATAATTAGATATAAATAAGGTAGCGTCGTTTTTGTCTAATTTGTTGTTTTTTATGCAAAGTAGGTAATAACAAATCTTGAGACATCTTGGAGACCATGTCGACTATAATGTAATATTTTTACCTTAAATCAACTTTAGACATTTTTTTATAGAATTTGATCATAAGAGGAGGAGAATTTAATCCTATTAAACATGAGCAGAGTTTTCGACAACGCCATTTTTAAAACTGGAATGTTGGGTAAGTAATTTAAATCAGTAACTTGTAAGTAAAATTCGAATTTCGTTTTTAACGTGTTTTTTTTAAACCTGTGCGAATAGTTAGTTAGTGCAGTAAGCACGTTGTACATAACATACAATATAATGTGAAAGTTAAATTCAAGATACTGGCTGCACACACTCCCTGACACACTAAAATTTTCTTTAAAAAATAAACAAAATAATAAGCTATCAAACCTTTTTTCATTGATTGTATAAATTGACCTCGTTGTTCAAACTTTTGGAAATACTTTCACATATCTCTAATAATGTTACAAGTTTAAGTTTTGTCGCAGAAAATATTATTAATTTATAATAAGTTCTAAGGTTGCTTTTGAATGTAGGTACAATCAAAAGTAGTCTTGTTAAAAGATGTTTTAGACAAAAGAAAATGAAATGGATCAGCTATAAGATATCCGTTACGATTACGATTACGAAAAAGCAATAGAATTGGTTGAGAAGCATCAAGGAGATTACAATGGTCAGTCTTAAACCTAGATGGTTATAAAAAGGAAGGAATGCCGCTAGCCTTGCATTATAATATGTCTACCCTTTCAACTATGCAAATTATCAAGTTTTCAGTTGTAGATTTAAAGGTATTTATAATTTCAAGCATTCAGTTTTCTAACCCCGCACCTCTTTGCTAACGGACATATAAATTTTTCATACTGTCTGTCGTCAACGTCTTTTGTTGTTTAATGTTTTTTTTTTATTCGAAACTTCTTCACAAACAAAACATTTAGTTATTTTTCACCATAGTTATTATATTTATAGATAACCTAAGTGGCTTAGCGGCAGAACTGTTTGTCTAGAGTGCCCCCTGCATTGCAGTACGACAGCTCTGCTGCTAGTAGGCCGCACTACCGAGAGTACGATTACCGATCAGTGCATTGCTTGGTAGGGGACTAGACAGCTTTGATATAATTTTCACAGAACATGTATTATATTTTTTAATTCTAAAGTTGTTACGTTTCTTTTTCATGTTGCTAGAGTAATAAGCTATCCTGACTGCTAAGCCAGAGTTCGAGGGTTCGATTCCACCCCAGGACGAATATTGTGTAATTAACACGATGATTTGTTCTGTCTAGCCGTAATTAAAAATATTTTTGTAAAATATATAAGTTTATTAAGAAATGTACGCACCCGGTTGACGGTAATAGGCTCACCTCCAATTATTGAAACATGGGCATTTAAAACGCCTCTGTTTACCATTTCGGAGATTAAGACGTTCATGTATGTAAGATTACTTGTTTTATATCTAAATTTTAATACTCATATCGATTCACTGTCAATCGATACAAAAACATACTTGTTGTTGTAGTGTTATCTCACTGTACATAATATGATAATCATCAAAAGATGTACTACTTCCTAGTGTGGTGTGTTGATGTATATATCGTCATAGTCGTAGAATAGTGTCGGAGATACTATTGAACTTTACAGTACAGCCATTTCAAATAATTATGTTATTTTTATGAGATTTTTTTTAAATTCTAAATCTGTAATTATGAAAATTGGCATACAAGGGAAAAAGAGGGTTTGTTTTAAAACGCAATAATAATCATACATTTTTCTAGAAAAATCACATGCTTCATTTAATTTGAGCGCCTATCAAACTCATCATCATCATCATCAGCCTATCGCAGTCCACTGCTGGACATAGGCCTCTCCCTTAGATCGATTTTGGGCTTCTCGCATCCAGCTCCTGCCAGCCATCTTGCGCAAATCGTCACTCCACCTGGCCTGACCTGGCCTGGCTTCCACAGGCCTATCAAACTAACACTGAATAATTTAAACTCTAAAATACATATATTTTTTTCTTAAATGTAGTATTAATATTTAGACAATGTAGTATCCAAATATGGTCAAAACTGAATTTCGTATTTTTTTCAAAACCGACAATTTTCTACGATCATGACGATATCTGTTTACATTCATTAGTAAGTCGGATTGAAGGCCGTTACCATTGCTCGAGTGTTGTCGGTCTGTTTAACAAAACGTGATACGACTATGTAACTAGATAGTTAGAAGTTATTTTTTTTAGGACACAATGACTGAGACGACGCAAAAAGTTGTGTAGTGTCTAATTTATAATGTAATATATGATAATGTTTCCTTCTAATAAATAAATATATATCTTATATTCAACTAACGCATTGCCGATTGCCGTTTCATCCGAGTTTAAAATTACTACTCCACTCTTGAGAGTCATGGCGTGATGTTACACCGTCGTTGTGCGCTTAAACAAACAAACAATGAAAAAAAACTATCTGTATTTTAAGATACTTTAAAGTAGGTTAACACTCTTGATCTTCTTTTGGTAATTACTTTTAAAATGGTTGAGTAATTCCTTATAAATATGCACGAAAAATGAATTTTTTACAAAATTAAATGTTTCCATACACTGATCGATTCACTCAGCAGTAAAATACACGCATCTTCATTATTTTTCTACTCCGTTCTTAATTTTGTTTTGTGTCAGTACAATGTGTAATATCTTAGAGTTTGAACTGGTTTCTTTAATATGTAGAACATTTAAATTAAAGTACAAATCAACAATTTGATAAACGAGTCTATAGGTTTAATCAAGGTTGCGTGGGTATTTGATTGATACCTATACATATATTAACAAATACAGATTTATGATTATTAGAATATATAATTTATGAGTTTTTTGACATCATCATTTACACTATTTTATTTAGAATGAGTAATAAAATAAAACAGATTACGGTACTGGCATACTGATTAGGTATATAAATATTTTGTTAAAAAAACGTTTTTTAGTGCGAAGTATAAGTAATAGACGGTAAATAATAGTAGAGTAGGTACATTATTTTATACTTAGACATCTTAAAACGAGGACAACAGCAAATAAATATCATCAAAGTTAGTATCGTGACAGTGTTCAGTTATTCTCTGGCACGCATCGCAAACACAAATAAGTAACGGGACTTATACTGTTGTTAGTAATATTGCAAAACTTTTAGAAAAAATGTGATTAGCGGCTTATTCTCACATCAATCTATAGATTGATAGTTAAAAAGAAGGTTCTTAATCAAGTCTATGGTACCTGCGAACGCCTACCGGATTTCTAAAGACAAGGTTTTTTTATTTCTTTTGTCGTTTATTAGTGAATTAACTG